TATAATGTAAATAAGAATCACATCATGATTAGTAGACGCCGATCTTTGATTGGGCGAGTGGGGTGCTCAATTCATGACCTTCCCCTCTCGTACCTAAGTTCCCAAGTCGAAACACTTCGGTGATGACAGATAAGTGGCCTTTGGCACGAGTCTCGAGTTTCCTAAATTTTTCAAAAATATTTAGGTGGTAACTCTATATCTGACAAAGTAGTCTATTTTTGGCATTTTGATTCAAAATCGATTTTCCAAAAGAATTGCCAGATTTGGACTCATTTGTGTTTATCTATTTCACATTGCACTTGTGGAATCAGATTCAGAACCACGGGAGTTCGAACTGTAGGACTAGTCATATCCGAAAGGAGCACGAAAAGTCAAGCTACATATATCCGCTGCTCAACCCTATTGCTAATGATGTGAAATTGAAAGGCTGAACGGTGGTGTCATGTACCTAGTTCTTTTTTTTCGCATGATGTCATGTGCTTAGTTCAACGAAAAAAATAAGAAGTTAATTACATAGAAAATTCTAGGATTTTACATTTTTTTTTTAATTTTAAATTCCAGATTTTCAATTTCGATAAATTAAATCCCATCATTTCACCCTGTATTTTAATCCGGTCCTTCTGTCCATCTTCGTCATATTGAACTAACAGAAATCTGGACAAAAATTTGGATTTAAACTCACATGTTCAAACACTTGTATCTCCCTCGTCTCAACTCCATTTCGCCTCATTTTCACGTCATTGGATTCACTACATGGCCTAGTTTTCATTTCGTCCCTCATACGCCTTGTTTCACCTTTTTTTACTCCAAAAGTTGGCTAAAAATAATTTTTTTCTCTTTTTGGGCAAAATTTTCATATTCAAACCCACATGTTCAAGTACTTATATCTCTCTCGTTATAATTCCATTTTGCCTCATTTTCGTGTTGTTAGATTCACCTCATGACGTAGTTTTTATTCTACCCCTTATATGCCTTGTTTCACATCTTTTTGTATGCCATCGGAGCTTTGAAATTTGACCAATTTTTTTTTTCTTCTCTCTTTAGGCAAAAATTTCTAATTCAAACTCACATGTTCAAGCACTTGTATCTTTTTCATTGTAACTCCGTTTCGCTTCATTTTTGCATCATTGAATTCATCTCATGGCCTAGTTTTCATTCCATCTTTTATACCCGTGTTTCACCTCTTTTGGCATACCGTTGGAGCTCCGAAAATTGGCCAAAAATAAGATTTTTCTTATTTCCCCTCCTCTATTTTCTATCTCTATGCTTCTTCTTTCCTCCATCATTTCCACAATTATTCTCTCTTTTCCTCTTCCTTCATGGCCCTTCCACCGAGCTTATGATGGCCACCGAACCTCCGCCTGTGACAGCGCTGTCGAGTATGAAGGTATATGACTTATAAGAAGGGGAATAAATGTAAGGATGGGGGAAGGGCCATGAAAGAAGAGGAAAAAAGAGAATAATTATGTAAAGGGATGAGAAAGAAAGAAGTATAGAGATAGAAGATAGTGGAAAAATCAAGAGAGAGAGAGAGAGAGAATTATTATTTTCGACCAATTTTTAAAATTTTAACTACAAGCAAAAAGAGTTAAAACAAGGCATATGAGGGATGAAATGAAAATTAGGCCATAATATGAATCCAATGATGCGAAAATGAGGCGAAACAAAATTATGACGAGCGAGATACAAGTATTTGAACATGTGAGTTTGAATTTAAAAATTTTGTCCAAAAAGAGAAAAATCTTATTTTTGACAAACTTTCTGTGCTTTGACGGCACGCAAAAAGAGATGGAACAAGGCATATGAGAGATGGAATGAAAAATAGGGCATGAGCTGAATCTAAGGATAAAAATGAGGTGAAATAGAATTACGACGAAATAGATATAAGTGCTTGAACATGTAAGTTTCAATATGAAATTTGTCCTGTTAGTTCAATATAAAGGAGATGGACAGGGGGTCAGATTAAAACACGGGTGAAAGGATAAGGTTTAATTTGTCGAAATTAAAAATTTGAAGTTTAAAATGAAAAATGCTAGAGTCTGTTTGGTTTAGTTTTAAAATTATGATTTGAGTATAGAGTTGTATTTTAAGTTTTAAGTTTTTGAATCATAATTTGAAAAAAGAAAATTTGTTTAATAATGAGTTTTGAAAATAATTTTGGAATAATTTGTACTGTATTTTTTTTAATCGACTAATGTATAGAATGTGAGAGAAGAGATAAGAGAGAAAAAATGATTAATTGATTGAATAATAATAATAATAATAATAAGAGAAAAGAGGAGTTTTGAAAGTAATTTTGAATTATATTTTAAAAATACGTTTAGTTAATATATTTTATCAAAATTATGATTTAAAAATAGTGTTAAATTTTGAAAAGTAAACGAAATGGTACCTAGAGTTTTTTTTTTTTTTTTTTTTTTTTTTTTTTTTTTTTTTTAGATTTTCTTTTTTTTATTTTTTGGGGAAAAAAACCCATCAAAAAATTTTTTAAAAAAAAAACTTTTTTTTTTTTTTTT